TACTTCTTGAATTTGCAGGGATCTTGGTGGTTCTTATGTAACTGTGGCAATCTAACTTGTTAATTGCTATTGCGCCAAAAGTTGCTATGATTGGGACGTGATGGAGCTGACAAAGGTCTTTCCTTCTGCTCTCTACATTACAATGATTGCAATGAGAGTCGGACACAGAGGACTGTATTCCGTGGGCTACAAAAGACAAGTTCAAGTTCAAGCGGGACTGGAACGATAGGATTATCCCGTGAGTGTTCCTTCTTCGGCGGGTCGTTGAACCAGGAGTTAGCGAACTTTGAAATACTGATGGACCTAAAACAAAGACCGCATCACACCCTGTCCAACCAATTAATGCCCACGTATCCTGCCCTAGCAGTCCCTGCTGGGTCGGTTACGTGAAGTAAGAAAGAGAAAAAAGTAAACTCAGAAGGCAAAAGAGAAAGTGGTAAGAGATAAGCAAGTGGAATACCAAGATATTTGAGTCAAAAAAAGAACTGAAAAGTGAAGGTGAGTCAGCTAGGAAAAAGGAAAGGTTTGCTGTTGCCACCCAAGAGCATCGAGCTGGCGCGCAAAACCCTTAACTGTAGGTTCCCTAACCACGTGATCTGGAAGCGAATTCCAGCGATCTATAACTCGGCGCGATAGACGAGTTTCCGTCCTAATCCTATCAGACCGTGGTTTATGCAGTTTCAGTGGGTGACCGCGGAGACTAGGTAACGTAGCGGGACTAAAAAGCCCTGACAAGTCCGGGCCAATCTTACCCGTCAAAATACGATAAGTGAGAATCAGGTCCCCTCTTATCCTTCGGTAGTGCATGGAGTACATACCCAAACTGAGCAAGCGTTCAGGATACGTCTGTCCCCGTAGACCCTGCACTAACCGAGTGCCCACTCGTAACACCCTCTCCAAGTCCATTTTGTCTCGGTTAAGACATGGTGGACAAGCCTGAATACAATATTCCAGGTGGGGTCGGACGAATGCCGAAAATAGCTTCACAAACAACTTGGCCGTTAAGATTCCGAAAGAGCGGCGGATAAACCACATCATACGAAACCCTCGACAAGCAGCCTTCTTCCAGTTGTCTCCAGAATGAAGTGCTGATGCGTGTACGACTCCTAAATCAACCTGCTGAGTGACAACAGGGAGTTCATCACCGCCGACGACATATCGGGTGGGAGGATTTGCAGCTCTGATTCGGAGAAGAGAGCACTTCGCCCTATTTATGGGCATCAACCATAAGATAGACCATTCCCAGAGCCTATCCAAGGCACGCTGAATCGCCTCAGGACCCCCCGGGATATCCACAATATTCCAGAGCTTAAGGTCGTCAGCAAACATTAATGATGACACCCCTAGCTCTCCCGGCAAGTCATTTACATAGATCGCGAACAACAATGGCCCCAATACCGAGCCCTGCGGAACGCCACTAAGGACAGCTTGCCTGAGCGAAAGGCTACGCCCCACCCGTACGCACTGTTCCCTCCCTCAAGGAAGGCAGACACCCATTGAAGGGCGCGACCAGATATCCCGTAAGATCTCAACTTTAGTGAGAGCCGAAGATGTGGAACAGTGTCAAAAGCTTTCGAAAAATCTACGAATAGCACGTCTACAGCGTGGCCACTCTCTACCGCTTCGGCCCAGCTTTCACGAGCTACAAGTAAATTAGTCTGACATGAAAATCCTTTGCGGAATCCATGTTGTGCAACACTGAGAAGGTTGAATCGATTCAGGTGGTTCTCCACTGAATCCCTTATCAGCTTCTCGAACAACTTGACTACTACGCTTGTCAAACTGACAGGCCGGTAGTTCGCGGGTAGAGCGCTGTCACCGCCCTTAAAAATCAGACAGATGATTGCCTCCTTCCATTCCGAAGGTAGGCTGCAGCTGTACAGCGATATTAAAAATACGCACGTGCGCGGACCACTCAGCTCAGTGGCCAGTTCATGCAACAGCTTCGGATGAATTGAATCAGGACCGGAAGCTTTAGAGGGATTAATGCCTTGCAGTAGCTCGAAGACCTGAGTCTCCGTTATGCTAAATTCAGCTAAGCAAGAATCCTCTGGAACTCTTGAAACCAATTCAACCTGTGGTAAAGTGGTCACCCGAGCAAAGACCCCAGCATACTGATCACTCAGTATACAAGCCTTGTCATAGTCAGTTTGCGCAAGGGTCCCGTCTGCTCGCAATAAAGCTGGTATAGACAGTTTTGCCCCGCTGCGTCTTTTAACGTAAGCAAAAAACTTCTTGGGATTAGCTGCGGCCGAGTCCGCTAAACGCTGCTCGTATTGGAGACGAGCATTTCTGAGATGTTGCTTACATTTATTTCTATTATCTCGATAACTATCATAGATACTGGCTGATGGAGTTGCTTGGTAGGTTCGCCAGCATCTAGAACGTTTCTTGAGTAGGTACTTGCCTGTGGTATCTATCCATGGAGGCTGTGCCCTTAACCCTCTTTTCCTAATGAGTGGAATATAGGGAGCGGAAACCTCCGTAAGGTATGCCTTAAATTTTTCCCAGGCTAACTGGACAGAGTCATCCATCGAGATCTCACAGTTCAGAACTGAAGCCTTAGTTCGCATTGCACTTAAGTCCGCCCGCCAAATATTCGGAAGTAATTCAACAGCGGTCTCTTGGTGCCTTGAAAGAGCACATCGAAAGGATATGCATGCGTGATCGCTAGACCCTAGAGGTGCACCGCATGAAACGTCAGTCACGAAGTCCAGGGACTTAGCGAAAACTAAATCCAAAGTAGATAATATTTGGTTGTCCATATACCTAGTGGGAAAGTCAACGAACTGGTGCAAAGGCACTTGGAGAGTCAGTTCAAGGAAATCTGCACCGAATGTTCCTAATTCCGAATTGCAAGAAAGATAGGCCCAACAGACTTCCGGGAGGTTGAAATCCCCTAGAACTAAACACTTATTCGCAGACTGAGTGCGAATAAAGTCAAGTATCCCCCTGGAGGAACTTCCAGGACTTCTGTATATCACTATAACTGTAAACTGGGTAGAGGAAGTGCACAAAACAGCCGATAGGGCTTCAACAGTCTGATCCGACGAATGGAATGTGCAGATCCTCAACACATCTAAGTTACAGCTCACATACAGTACAACGCCTCCGCCTTGGCGACCAACGGAGCGATCAGTTCTAAGCAGCGTGTAGCCAGATAAATATACCTCACCGTCCGTGATGTCCGGAGACAACCACGTCTCAGTGAAAGCAAGTATGTCGGGACGAGATTTGTCTACAAGTAGACCCAACTCGTGCACTTTGTTCCTTAGGCTACGCACGTTGCTAAGTACTACCTCAAGGAAGTCGGCACGACCATCCCTGGGTCGTGCGCCATCAGGATTGGTTCTGATAGGGTGGAAAGTAACTTCCGGCTGATCACCTGAAAACCCACCAGACGGAGGCCTTGCTCACCAGCCGCCCGTCTAGTTTTGAGGTCTTTGATAGCCTCCTTTAACTTCAACCTATCTGCCAGTGGTAGGTCCGGCTGAACGCTGACACCACTACCCTTAAGTTTGAATGCAAATCGCAGTAACGATTTGCGTTCCTCCGGGATAGAAAGGACTACGCGAAGTAGTCGGGGTCGTGGATTTGGCGCAGCGATAGGAACGTTTCCCAATCTGGTCAGCTTTCTGACAGTGACACCAGGGAAACCAGGTGGAAGCAGCTTGCTGACACACATTTTCAGCCACTTGTTGTCAGATTCAGTAACGTTACGGAATATAACGCTACTATCAGTGAAATAGTCGGCACGACGGGGATTGTTTACCCCACGTGCCTTAGAGTCGACACCTGTACCAGCTGTTTTCCCCACTGGCGGTGGGACTGTCCCTGGCTTCCCAAACTCTGCCGAAGCAACGGTAGCGTAGGTTTTCCGCTCTATTGCCGGCGTCTTACTGGTTCCTGGGTCTTCAAGCCCCTTCGAAGTTTTACGAGCACATCTTGTCCGCTTCTTCTTTTGGCTCACTGGAGCAGGGGCCGTTGACTTTGTATCGCATTGAGCAGTTACCAGCATTTCGTCAGAACAGGCTGGTTCACTGGCGGCCGAGACAGTCAGCGTCTGTGGAAATTTCTATGTACAATCGTCAGACGAGTTTATGACTGTCAAAGACGGCATCTCTTTCGATGCCGTGGCAACCATTTCTCTGGGTTTAGCAGAGGGCTTTTGGTATTTCCGCACCCTATTTTTCTTCACTTTGATCGGATCATGAGGACCGCCAGAAATGCTACCTGGATTGGCCGGTAGGATGTGCGAATTTATGGCCGATTGACAGACTCCAGTGAATGGATGTTGCCGGCTATTGCTGTGTCTTCAAACGAAATATTTAGGGATTTTAAAATCAAATCCATTTTCGTATCTAGCGAAGCAATAGAGGCGAGTTTAGCTATCACCAACTCAACAGCTGCCAACCTTGAATCCAACGCTGAAAGTTTAGCACCGGTGACAGCCGGGCGCGTCGATCTTTTAGCGCAGCATTCAGCGCAGCTGAAAAGAAAGTGGACGCTTGATGATAGCATTTTGTACTGGTCAGCTTGTAGGCCGGTACAGCTTTCGTGATACCAGCGGCAGCAGACGTCACACTGCATACCACCAGATGCATCTGTTACTGGCTCTAAACAGTTAACCTGTCCGCAAGCTGCAGTAGACTCATCAAACGAGGACCCCATAGGTCCATCCATCTCGGTGTTTAGCGAGACAGCCATGTTCATGTGGAAAACAGATTAGAATTTCAACACGTATACAATAGGAAAACGACCGCAATAAAAAGACAAAAACAGGGTGCAAAACGGGATTAAAACTGGGAACAACCGGAAAAATTCCCAGCAAGCGCCAAAGACGCTTTGGCCAGTACCAATTTAATGGATTCAAGATTTCTTGGATCAGAGAAAATTTGACAATAGTCAAATTTCGTTTCAAGTGTTTATTCAAACACTGTTTTTCACGTTATTTCAACTGAAAATCTCGATCAGTATGGCACGCCAAAAAATCGAGTTACCGCGTAGTACTCACAGGAGTCAGTTCAGTTCAGTTCAGTTCAGATGGGGACTGGAACGATAGGAAAATCCCGTGAGTGTTCCATCTTGAGTGGATCGTTGAGCCAGGAATTGATGAAGTGCTCAGTTATTGATGGATCTAAAACGGAAACACCCGTATCGCACCCTGGCCAACCAGTTAATGCCCACGTTTCCTGCCCTAGCAGTCCCTGCTGTGGCAGTCACGTGAAGTAAGCAAAGGATAGGAAGAGAAATCGAAGGTACAGAATAGGGAAGTGCACTTAAATAAGAAAATAATACCAATACGTGAAGAAAAGTAGAGAAAAGAAAATCGAAGTACGAAGATGTGAGTTACTCAGGAAAATGGAAAGGTTTCGTGTTGCCACCCAAGAGCGTCAAGTTGCCGCTCAAACCCCTTAACCGTAGATTCCCTGATAACACTTTCCGGAAGCATGTTCCAGCGGTCGATAACTCGGCGTGACAGCCGGATTTCCGCCCTAATCCGATCGGACCGCGGTTTGTCCAGCTTCAACGAATGACCGCGTAGAACAGACAATCTAGCGGGACTGAATAGCCAAGACAAATCTGGACCAACCTTCCCAGTCAAGATACGGTAGGTTAGGATTAGGTCTCCTCTAAGCCTTCGGTAGTGCATTGAATGCATTCCCAAACTAAGTAGACGCTCGGGGTACGTCCGTCCCCGTAATCCCTCGACTAACCTAGTACCCACTCGTAAAACCCTCTCTAGCTCCATTTTGTCCCGGACGAGGCAGGGCGGACAAGCCTGGACGCAGTATTCCAGATGAGGGCGAACGAAAGCCGAGAACAGCCTCGTAAAGATGCCGCCCGTCAAGACTCCGAAAGAACGTCGGATTAACCACAACATGCGTAAACCTCTGCTTGCGGCCTTCTTCCAGTTGTCGCCGGAGTGTAACGCCGAAGAGTGTACGACGCCTAGGTCAACCTGGCTAGATACACGGGGGAGTTCGACCCCACCGACCAAGTACTTCGCAGGAGGACAACCTCCTCCAATTCGAAGAACGGAGCACTTTGCCTGATTTATGGGCAGTAACCATAAAGTAGACCAGTCCAAAAGCTTATCCAATGCTCGCTGAATAGCTTCGGAACCCCCAGGAACATCAACAATGTTCCACAGCTTCAGGTCATCAGCAAATAGCAGCGATGGTACCTCAAGCTCCGTGGGTAGGTCGTTCACATAGATAGAGAACAACAGCGGTCCAAGGACCGAGCCCTGCGGCACGCCGCTGAGGACAGACTGCCTAAATGACAGACCCCGGCCTACCCGTACACATTGTTCTCTACCCTCCAAGAAGGCAGTCACCCAATGAAGGGCGCGGCCAGATACCCCGTAGGAGGACAGCTTTTGCGCGAGCCTCAAATGGGGTACCTTGTCAAATGCCTTCGAAAAGTCGACGAAAAGCACGTCCAGCGTGTGGCCGTTATCCACTGCATCCGCCCAATTTTCGCGAGCCACCAACAGATTCGTCAGACACGAAAATCCCTTCCGGAATCCGTGTTGTACATTGCTAAGTAGATTAAATCTACTCAGATGACTCTCTAATGAATCTCTCACCAGTTTCTCGAGGAGTTTGATTACTACACTCGTCAGACTAACTGGCCTGTAATTTGCAGGCAGACCCCTGTCCCCATGTTTGAAGATGGGACAGATGACAGCTTCCTTCCATTCGGAAGGCAATGCACAACTGTCAAGCGATTTCTGAAACACAATAGCGAGCGGTCCACTTAGTTCCGCAGCCAACTCATGCAACAGTTTCGGGTGAATTAAATCAGGCCCAGAGGCCTTAGAAGGGTTCAGCCCTTGTAACAGCCTACGAACTGCAGTCTCCGCTACAATAAATTCAGATAGTTCTGAACCCTCTGGAGTCCTGCAAACCAGCTCAACGCCTGTCAAAGAGGTTTCCCTTACAAACGCTGCCGCATATTGCCCACTGAGTACGCAGGCCTTGTCATAATCCGTATGCGCATGAGTACCGTCATCACGCATCAATACTGGAATTGACATTTTCGAACCGCAGCGTCTTTTGACATAAGCGAAGAATCTTTTTGGATTCTCTGAAGCTTCGTCCGCTAACCCTTTTTCAAAAGTGAGCCGAGCATCCCTTAGGTGTTGCTTACACCTATTTCTAGCTTTACGGTACCTGTCATAAGTATCGGTAGACGGAGCGTCTCGGTAAGTCCGCCAACATCTAGATCTCTTTGTGAGCAGATGCCTGCCAGTGGGATCTATCCAGGGCGGCTGTGCTCGGGCCTCCTTTCTCCTTGTGACTGGTATGAAGGGAGCAGAGACCTCTGTGAGGTAGGACTTAAATTTATCCCAGGCAACCTGGACAGTATCGTCGTCTGAGATCTCACAATGGAAACCAGAAGCCTTGGCTCTCATTGATTGATAGTCTGCTTGCCATATGTTCGGGCGAGACTCAACAGTACTCTGGTAGCGTCTAGACAGAGTACAATTGAAGAGCAAACAAACATGATCACTGGAACCCAGTGGAGGTCCGTAAGTAATGTCACCAACAAAATCGAGTGACTTAGCGAATACAAGGTCTAAGATAGACGGTACTTGGGCGTCCATGTACCTAGTGGGGAGGTCAATGAACTGGTGCAAAGATACTTGGAGCGTAAGTTCAAGCAGATCAGCGCCGAATGTGCCTGACGCTGAGTCGCAAGAAAGATCTGCCCAACAAATCTCTGGGAGGTTGAAGTCGCCCATCACCAAACACTTATTTGCGGACTGGGAGCGAATGAAGTCAAGTACCTCTTTGGATACGCTCCCAGGGCTTCTATACACAATTACAACTGTAACCTGAGCCGAGGATGTGCTAATAACAGCCGACAGAGCTTCAACACGTGCTTGTCAGACGTGGTTGGATGAAACGAGACAGGAAGAAAACGTCAGTGTGACAACCTACAAAACAGTCGTCCAACAATCCGGTTGATAGGAAGAGCAAACCAAGAAAGAGTAAGGTACAATTTGTCAGCACTTAAAATGTTACACAAATGATAGTCGTTTTTTGGGCGATACATTGGTAAAAGCTGCTCAAGCGGCTAGAAATAGCTAACTTTGATCAAAGATTACAAAACAACCTTACAAAAGGTTTTCTGAGCATAGGCAGGAATGTTGCTACATAGTTAAGTCTATAGTAGGTTATGCTCCGGCAATCACGCGATTGGTTCCTCACGCGACAAAGTCATTATATGCAGCGCCAAAAAACCTATCACGTAATTGTTTAAATTTAGTAATAAACCAACATATTGCGTCGATTTTTACCTGCAACTATAACGAAGGTTTGGTAGCTGTGTCATACATACACGTAAAACAGAAACACAAAAAACCCAATTTCGAATTTCCGCCCATGCGAAATCAACGATCCCTGAAGTTGGCTAACAGCGCTTCAAATCTCTGGCAGTCATCACTATGACTACCGTTACTTTTCGTATATTAAAACATAAGTGATGAAAGATTACAGTCACTGTTTCTTTTGAGTTCAAGCCAAATAATACTTGCTAAACAATCCATGGGCTCCGATGCCAATACCAAACGTTATTTTCATCACACGATTTGACTATCGCTGTGTTCTGGCAGAGTAAACCAAATTCCTCAAAAGGCGGGACATGAGAAGACAGAACCTGTAACAAAACCGAAACTGTAATGGGACTTTGAACGAACCGCCACTTTTAACTCTGTCTTCTTTCCTTTTTCAGACTCGAACACGTTGAACAATGAATGAATCGTTATGAACATATTTCCATTTGACGCACCTACGGACCTTTTATACCATTTTTGAACGACTTGCGTTTTGTTTTGATTGTACCTTCGTTGTTGGGTCGAAGACACGTTGCTGCTTCCCGTCGTGTTCTTCCTTCCGTGGTCGGTGACTGCCCGATTGGTTGCATCTCTTCGTGCTGCGTTCGCTGGAAATCGTGACGCTCCTTCCTCATCCGATTGCATGTGTTAACGCATTCATAGACTAGTCGAGTTACTGTCGTGTGTGTTTACTGTGCGCTCCATTTCAGCCCGATCGTCTCTCGGCATTTCAAACCTGCTCTGACGGAACCGTTACATTTTGGTGTCAGAGGTGGGATCATACACAAATGGACAACCAAGAGTTCAGCACACCCGAAGTAAAATCTAATGTTCGCTGTTTTACACACGCATGTTCACATGTTTTTCGTCCAAAGCCCCGACAGCCGCCAGTATTTCAGCCGGACGACGATTTCGAAAACTGGGAATTTCAGGTCTCAGCCTACTTATCCACTATCCCCGAGAAAGAGGTCGAAATTTTTATCCTCAGCTTTCTGAGCGACGAAGCTTTGAGCCTCATCCTTTCAACGGGTATTACTCCGAAGTCTTCTTCCTCAGAGATATTGGAGGCTTTGCGCCGTCTATTTGTAAAATCAGAGCCTGCTGTGATTTACGAGGAGAGGTTCGCTACCCGCAACCAGTTGCCCGGCGAAACGGTGGATGTGTTCTCGCGTGCTCTTAGAGACCTCGCACTGAAAGCTTTCCCAGAACTTTCGTCTTCCGCACGGGAGTATTGTGTTTGCAAACGTTTTTGTATGGGCTTGCGCGACAAGTCGCTTCATAACGGGTTGGTGCGCAGACTACCATGCCGCCTCGAAGAGTTGCTGAAGGATGCGCGGACACAAGAGGCAATGGAAATACTAGACAGCACTTCCGAGTACCCTGGAATTCGTGAATGCCATGCGATTGGTCCAACCACAGCGAAGATACACGAAACTATGGAAACCACTCCGCCTACAGCGAACCCGCTGAACGCGAGTTGCTGGTACTGCCACCGGTTTGGAAAGCGTGCTCAACACTGCGGGCACAATCCCCCGATCAGGCCGCGAAGACCCCGAGGTAGGTCTGAACACTTAATGTCTGTTTTTGTTTGTAATGCGGTAATTAGTCCTTTGACCACGGTTGGGTTCCTGACCGATGCTGTTTTGCGTTTTTTGATTGACACTGGAGCATCA